GAATCTTTTTTATAGCTCAATTGTCAGATATATGTAGCATGTTTCTTTCTTATAAGTTTTCTTTTTCTTTTTTATATTGTGTATTCTATTTTTAAAATCAACTAATTAATTTACAGAAATTTCCATGGTACTTTATTGTATTTTGTCTTAACAGGCCCACAAAGGCTAGTAATAAAGCATATATATATATATATAGAACTATGTTAATCACACAATCGAAAATAAGATACATATTAAAATTGAAACGATACTTTTTGCTATTTTCTGCTTGCTTAATTTAAGTGATTTGTGCATTTGACCGGCATCGTTTGATCCTAACAAATTATTGAGATATTTCTTATCCAATTCTTGTTGTTGAACAAAATATATATAGAAAAACATGAATAATAACTATTCTAATAAAATAGAACGTTTAATGAACAAACGCAAGACACGTTATACTAGACTAGTTTTCTTGGATGAGTTCTTAGGTGATCTATATCTGCTTTAGTACACTGTTTATGAAAATAAATATTTTAATTATACAGAAAATAGATAAAACGACAACAACAAGAACTGAATAAAATTTTCAACTACAGAATTTACTAGGATCAAACGATGCCGGTTAAATCAGAGAAATTAGTAAACTCAAACAAGAAGGAATAAAGCATCGTTTCAATTTCAATATATGTGCCATGGGATAGATATGGTCAAGTCTGAAAAATTTCGTACTTTTTTCTGCTATAATTCGGTCAAATTTGATCGGACAAAAGTAGTATTTCATGAGTAGATAGAGCTGACTGTTTTCTATCGAACGATGTAGACAAATTTTAGAAATTTAACAGTGTCAATTGGTGTTAATCAGTTTCCTGCCAGCACCTTTGGATTCACCACAATTGTATACTAGATTCGCTCTTTTGTTGCTGTTACCGGTGAAAAAAATTGACAAGTTCGAATTTTGACGGTATTTAGGTAACAACCAACACAAATATCCTCACTGCACATCGTGCAATATGACCGAGTTCGGTAAATATTCAGCATTTGACGTGAACAAAGGCGCAAGAAGTTTAGAACAACAATATTTGGAAGTTACAAAATCCAAGCCACGTTTTGGTTATCAACATACGCCCTTTTCTAAACAACAACTACAGTAAGTCAATATCTTTCATTAAATCCATTTACCTGCAGTTAAACATGAACCAAAACAGATTACTGGCTTAATTCGTGTTTTCTCATATTTACCATTTTATCCACGTATTTTAGATACACGCAAATTATTACTGACATACTGCATATGAAATTAAGAATAACCGATATATTACTGGCAGAAATAATATCATTAATTAGTGTAACAAATACAATAGCTGAACGACCACAACATTTACAAAATGTCATGATTTTTTTGGAACAACGTGCAAAAGACAGTCGGGCAAGTTTGCAATAATCATGAACAAGAGAAACTTTTCTGAAAAGTGAGACGACTGAAATTAATTTGACCCACCTGATCACCTTTCTATCAAACAACAGTCTTGTTAATGCGTTTATCTTCTACTTTACTTACGAAAATCAACGCTTTTCTGTTTTAAGACAAATCATAAATTTACGTTAACAAAGAAAAATGAAATCGAAGTCACAGGAAGGTTAAATTCCCAAATGCATGAAACGTTTCTACGTGATTTACAGTTATATGTCATAATCAAAGACAATCAATTTTGGAAAATATAAAGACAAAGTGTGTTATGTTTCTGATTTTGAATGTAAAGTCAGAAAAAGCAATTCCGTTAATTGTGAAACAGAAAATGGTGATCAGTTCAAAGTTACTGGGCACTACTTATTGCATGCACATGAAAATACTTCGTGCAGAAAGAAGTCGTCCAATAAATTAAACAGTTCTGTCTTATTTTACGAAAATAGTTGTTAGATGTCATGTATATATGTTTTTCTGTTCAAGATTAATAAATTATGTTTCATCCAAGAATTAGACCGATTTGCATATCGCCGTCTCTTCCTCATTCTATTTATAAGGTGACAATACGGATACATTACAGAAAGACAATATATATACATGTAGTTGTACTTTAGGCATATATTGATATATACCGACTAATTATTTCCAAAAACAATATAAATTCTTGTTCATTTCATTCTTTAATAAACCAAACATTCCACATATTTTTCTTCTGATAATTAACTGACTTTAAGCTTTTCAGTGCACATTAATTTTAAAGATCTGACTATCATGGTCCGAAGAGAAAGCCGGAAAGTCATGGTAGTAGAAAAATGTTGTTTCGGAATTGATCGACATTTAACTTCAAATTTAAAACCTCTTTTCAGAACTGATTGAGAAGCTTACCCAGTTACAAACCAAAATTATGATTTTTTCGTGTATTCAACAGTGATAAAGGCAACTCGATATCTTAATAAATCTGAGGTGCATTTTGTTTAAAAATGTATCAACATAATGTTCAAATTCTGTACTTAAAGGCCGCGTGATAATGGGAGAATTATACTGTCTAATTAATGATATTCTAATTGTTTAACCTGACAGATTATGAATTAAATTAATCATAGTGAAGAAATTTTCTTGGATACAAGAGTAAATGAATATTCGCACTAAAGTATAG